AGGGCAGTTCCTCTATATCCTTGAAGCCAAGCTTATGGTTGTTGGGTTCCTTCCATGTGTTTGAGCCATCTTTAAGTCAGGATTGCCACCCTTCAGCCCATCCCAGCCCCCCAGCTATGGTAAGATGTGGGCTTCCTCTTCCGTGGCCTAGAGAACTGTAGCTGACTCTCAGAACAGCTGTTCCCTTCCAATTCTTTTATGAATTGCAAACCATGTCTATTAACAGTAAGATGGAAAGGATACTGTGGGCTTCCAGTTCTTCTGAGCGTGGATAGGTTTGGGTCTCTTAGTGGGATCACATATTACATAGGCTGAAAGTAGGAAATTTTACCTGGAGAGAAGGTACATCCTACAGCTGGAAGCAGGGAAATGGGATTTCCCTGGTCCTCCCTCTGAGCTGGGAAAACGGTTTGTGTTGCCAGTGTGTTGCCAGAAGTAAGTGGTTATAAATTTGAATTTCATGTGAGGAAAGGGTCTTGGGGACCGGAGGGAGTAGTAGCTAGAGAAGGGGAACTGAGCTGGGTGTGGTAGCACAAGCCCTTTAATCCCAGCACTGGCGAGGCAAAGGTGGCTGTACCAGTGAGTTCGAGAACAGCCAGCCTAGTCTACAGATCTTTTTAGCGCAGCCAGGGCTACATAGAGATACTCTCTCTCAAAACAAAAACAAAAGAGGAGAAATGGGATTGGCCCTGCCTTGCAAGGGAAACACAGGGAAGGCTAAGGCAGCATTTTTACATCTCCATATTCCAGTGGTTAACCTCTCACATGCCTCTTGTGCCCTGGTCAAATCTGATTCTAAAATCTGGCCTGTGGCTGATGCAGCTCTGCCTCCTTCCTTCCTCTTGCAGTCCAAGGTTGCTGATGGCACCTTGGTGACCAGAGCACACCCTGCCTACCTGGCTGCTGAGCCGTTTGTGTGTTGTGGAGACCATTCTTTAGCCCTTGGAGACCTGTACTCCTGTGCTTGGGGGTTCTTTTTTGTTTTGTTTTGTTTTGTTGTTTTGTTTGGCAGTTCTTTCCTCACGGCCTTCGAAAAGTAGGTCAAGGTAGCTAACCTGCTTTAGGGAGAGGTGCCAGGGTTCAAGACATCCAGCCTGGTGTCAGAACTCCTGATTCTATTTTCAGCTTCTGAGCTAACAGCTGCATGGCAATCCTCCCGGTGCTGAGCCTGGCTTTAGGTCTCAGGATTTTTTTTTCTTCCCTGAAGCTGCATCCTCCTGGGGCTCTCTCTCTCTCTCTCTCTCTCTCCCCTTCATCTAGGAGGCAGAGCTGCCCCCTCCTCACTGTTGGTACCTGGAGCAAGGATAAGGATGAGAACTTCAGCTGATGGAAAGATTAGAGGCCTTGGGTGGACTTGGCTGAGTGATGGGACCTGGCAAAGCTAGCTGTCAGAATGCTATAAGACAGACCTGGGGGATATTGTGTGGATACTGACATCCTGGGTGTGAGGGAAGGTTCCTGGGCTATGTATGATGGCTGTAGTTTGTCTTCTGCTTCTGAGTCTTCCTTCTGTGGAACACAGAAATTCTGGTTGTATGGAAACTGTAGCAGAGGGGACCATTGGAGCTGCCACCATATAGGGTTAAAGAGAAGCCAGGTGGATCAGGGTGCAGTTTGGCTAAAGAATAATCAACTTGTATTGAGCCTGAGAAAAACAGTCTTTTTTTTTTTTTTAATGTGCATTGGTGTTATGCCTGCATGTATGTCTGTGTGAGGGGGTTGAATTTCCTGCAACTGGAGTTATAGATAGTTGTGAGCTGCCATGTGGGAATTGACCATAGGTTCACACAGAAGAGCAGCCAGTGCTCTTAACATCAGGAACGTGGCTCAGTTGGCCAAGCGCTTGCTGAGCTCCTGTGAGGATCAGAGTTTGGATCCACAGCACCCATGTAAACGCTGGGTCAAAATGGCAGCCTGCCTGTAATTCCAGCTCTTGGGAAGAGGAGCTTGGGGGCAGGGTCCTGGAGCAACATGGTTGCCTAATGAGCAACTCTGAGTTCAAGTGAGACTCTGTCTCAATGAATAAGATGGAGCGCAACAGGAAAAGAAACCTGACATCAGCCTCTGGCCCTAACATGCATGTGCACACAGATGCACATAGGTGTATGCTACCTCCACACAAACATACAAACACAGCATACATGTACACACTTTGGGAGTAGAAACTTCACTTACTTCTGCTAACCTAGGTCATAACTTGAAACACAGTGCACTGTAGGCTACTGTTTACCTCCCCTCATGAACCAAGAATTTACTGAGACCATCGCTGTCCAGTAAAAGAGAAACTACAGTGCTATATACTCCTAGGCTGAGAAAAAATTAAAATTCCAAGTATACTTTCTACTCAAGGTGTATTACCTTCACACAACATAAAGTTTGGCCATCATAAGTCAAGGGACAGTCTGTCCTGAGGTCTGTTTAAGAGCGGGTCTGACACAGACCCAATGCAATTGAGCCATTCCTAAAGGCAATTTCACTTTACTTTCTGTTCAACCCATAACCTTTGAGATTTCTGTAAGGACAGAGGAACCTATTTAAGATAGAAATCCCAATTCTGGCATCCCTGCATCCCATAGTTCCCCTAAGTAGTTGATTTCTGTTCCACCTCCTCCCACTGGGATTCTCAAATTTAGTTCTTTGGCTTTCATTGTATCTGTTGTGTTATTTCTCTCCCCCTCTCCCCAGTTTATTTCTATTCAACCCAGACCAAAGAGACAATTCCATCCAAGTTTCTCTTGGTGAATCAAGGAGTTTGTTGGGATCACTGGCAGGAGCATGAGTAACTGGGCAGTTAGCCCAACCAGCATGGGCTCCGACTCTAAAAGCTGCCCCACTGCCACTGTTTGTGTGGCGGGCAGCAGCTACACCACTGGAGAAATCTCTCCCTCTAGCCTGGCGTCGGTGTCGCACACCTTTAATCCCAGCACTCGGGAGGCAGAGGCAGGCAGATCTCTGTGAGTTCAAGGCCAGCCTGGTCTATAGAGCAGCCTCCAAAGCTACACAGAGAAACTCTGTTTCAAAAAAACCAAACCAAACCAAACCAAAAACAAACAAACAAAAAACAAAAAAACAAATCTCTCCCTCCAGCAACTGCTTACTGGCCATAGAACTTTCGGGGTGAACCCTGACTTAATTACCTTTTTATAGCTGTGCTAAGACACCATAGCCAAGGCAACTTATAAAAGAGGGCATTCAGTTTAGGGCTTGAATTTCCGAAGATAGCAGAGTCTACAGCCATCATGGTGGGAGCATGGCAGCAGGCAGGCATGGCTCCAGATCTAGAGCTTGCATGTGATCCACGAGCATGAGACAGAGACAGTCAGAGAAAGTCAACTGCAACATACCTCCCCCAACAAGGCCACGCCTCCTAATCCTCCCCAAACAGTTTTACCAACTAGGGACCAGCATTAAAAGATGTGAGCCTGTGGAGGCCATTCTCATTCAAACTATCACAACTTCCCTCAGTGATGCACTGTAAAGTTTAATAGGACATAACCCCTTTTCTCTACAAGTGGTTTTCTGGTCATCCTATTTATCACAAGAACAGAAACTGTCTTAGTTAAGGTTTCTATTGCTGTGAACAGAGATATCATGGCCATGGCAACCTTTTTTTTAGACAGGGTTTTTCTCTGTGTAGTCCTGGCTGTCCTGGAACTCACAGAGATCCACCTGCCTCTGCCTCCCAAGTGGTGGGATTAAAGGTGTGCACCACCACCACCTGGCCTCACAGCAACTCTTATAATGGAAAACATTTAATTGGGGCTGGCTTACAGTTTTAGAGGTTTAGTCCATTATCATCAAGGCAAAAAGCATGGCGGCATGCAGGCAGGCGTGGTGCTGGAGAAGGAGCTGAGAGTTCTACACCTTGATTTGCAGGCAGCAGAAGGAGACTGAAACTTAACAGTTTGGGTTGCAGTGAGCAGTGTCTCCAGACACAAGTACTGGATCTCTCTTTGTTTTACCCTTGTATTTCCAAAGAAGGATGGGAAACAAATATGTGGGTGACCATTACACACTGTAGGTTTCATGGAATTCCTCAACAGTCCTGCAGGAAGCAAGACTCGAAGAGGGTCATGCTTTGACCTATTATATTAGACTTAACTTCAAGGTTAAATGAAGTATTAATAAAATGAAGGCCATTGCATCTTTCAGTAATTTCTATGGTCGAGAAGAAAACGAAAAGCCTCCACCCAGGGGCAAGAGGAGAAATTAAAAAACAGATACGGGAAGGCCAGGGAAACAGAAGACAGAGATCTCCAGGGCGTTGGCCTGAGGTTTCTGCCCCTTTGTGTCTGCCAGGTCGTGTGGAAGATGCCGAATTCAGATTGGCTCTGGGGCATCGCTGGAGAGGATGCTAGTTGCAAAGCTTGCAAAGTACAGGAATAAATCTGGAGGGGAAAATCAAGCGGATTTACTGCAGCCCTTGGGGGGGTTGGGAGTGCGCTAGATTTCCTGAATACCTGCCCAGGTAGCAAGCACCTGGCCAGAGTCGTAGGACTGGGCTAGAGTTTGGGGACCCACGCAAAGAGGAGGGTTAAGAGTGAATTTCTGCCCTCTGGAGCGGGTGGCTTAGTCTGAGCAGCCTGGTTAGAGTTGGAGGAGGGGTGCACCTGCAGCTTCAAGCATCCTGCTGACCTGGGAGGTCTCCTCAGGTTGGGGAATACGTCAGCAACCGGAGAAAGGTTTTGAGACAGGAGCCGGAATTCAGGTGGATGATCACTGGGTGACCGCAGCAACCAGAATTCTGGCTCCTGGGGGGCGTCGGGTTGGCAAAAGGCGCGCCCCAGGCTGAAGAGGGGAGGGGAGGAGCACGGGGTAGAGGCGGGGTTCTTGAGGCAGTTCACCAGTGGCTAAGGGGGAGGGGCGTGGCAGGACACAGCTCCGCCCCCCGAGCGCCGCCTAGCCTGCGGACACGAATAGGAGGCGGCGGCCAACCTCGGCGCTGAATGGGCGGGTGGCGTCCCGCTCCGTCCCGCCCGCCTCCGGCCCCCCATCGGCAGCTCCTGCCGCGCCCGGGTCTCTGCCCGCAGTCGCCTGAGCCCCCCGGGCTGTGAATGAAAGGCAGGCGCGGCCGGGGACTAGCTGCCAGCGACTCGGCGACGCCGGCCTCCTGGAGGCGCGCTCCTCGCGATGTACGGTAAGGAGGGCTCGGCGCCCCGGCTCGGGCCCGCAAACTTCCAGGACGCGAACCTTTGTCCCCCGGAGTGGCCCCCGGCCAAAAGCGAGAACTCCGACTTGGTGCCAGGCTGGGCTGCTCCAGTCGCCTTGTGAGCAAGCGTCTGTGCAGAGAGGACAAAGATGCCTCGGACCGGGGAACTATCTGGTCCCTTGAGGTCTTTCGGGCCGGCGTGTGCAGGCGCTAAGGGGCGGTGGTCTGTCGCCGGGTAGGGAGTTTGGCGAAAGCCGGTGTCTCTGGAGCTGAGCCGACAAGGAATGATGGTGGAGGCGATCGTGTGACAGACAGTATTTGCAGAATTAACAAAGAGGCGTGTGCTTGGGAGTTTGATGCGCGAAACTGGTCCAGGGTAGAGGGGAGCTTCTCAGTGCCCGCCTGACGCCCGGCTCTTTGGATGTGGGAGGTGGCGCCTGCGGTGCAGGAGCTGGGGAGCAAGCTGGCGCTGGAGGCTCTTCTCTCCGAGCTGAATGGACTTGGGGCCTCTCTACCTATCCTGGCTGCCGGTGGGATGCAGGCTTCCCAACTTCCAGATTGGCCTTGCGGGGGCGGGGAACTGAAGGGAAGAGATATAGTTTCGAAGGTCTCTCCCAGTTCCACAGCCACCATCCCTACGTATGTGTGACAGTTCCAAGACTCGAGGTGCACGGCTCTGCTTGCTCATTTACCAAGATTTCCTCTGGTTCTGCTGGCTGTGTGGATAAGGAAAAGCTCTCCTGGGGTCCCACTTTTCAGCTCCTAAGAGTAGAACACTGGAGATCTGGACCGGGCTAGGAATGGGCTGCCTTGCAGAGCCTACTAGGGGTGTGTATGTGTGTGCGTGCGTGCGCCCGCATGTATTCCTATGGACACAGTCTATTAGAGCCCAGATCTCTGGTAGTTATTCTGGGGCCAACAAAAGAATTGGAACTGAGCTCACTCCCTGTCCTACTGCAGAGTAGGGGTTCAGGATGCACCTGATGGGTGAGTGATCTAGAAGAGCCTGTTCCCAATTTAACCCATCTGTAAGGCTGCTTGCTGGCTGCCTCTGCAAGCAGACCATGAGTCACAAAGTTTGTTGGCACAGAGGAAGCTGAGAGCATGCTGAAGAGCTCACTCCAGAGTCGTTGGGCCCCCTATTTAGAAGACAAAGACTCAGCTTTTGTGTGAATCTTGTTCCCTGCCCAGTTGATCACATAGCCACACTGTGATCCCAGTTGAGATACCAGCAGGTCCTCATAGCTAGTATGAATTCCCTTGGCTAGACCTAGTATGGGAGGGGCGACTTGACCTCAGAGGCTGGACCTATAACCAGAGGGTACTCTGAAGAAAGGTGACTGGACTTGTACATTTGCCTGTAGGGAGGATGGAAGAGCCATAGACCTCTTCTCCATTCTTTTCTGCAGAGGGAGTAGCCTGAAGCTGCAGATCACTTGACAGAAGCATGTGACTGCAGGGGCACCTGCAGCAGGGAGGGAGTTAGGACAGACCCATTAGTATGAGCCAGATTTGGCAGTCCTGGCTCACCACATTACAGCTAGTAGATAATGTGGTAACTTAGGGTATCTGACAATCAGGGTATGGGAGTTCCAGCTCTGCTCCTGTTGGAAGAGCTGCCTAGAACAGATGAGGAACTGGGGAGCCAGCCTTCACTGCATGCTATTTTCAGATGCACCACGGCATTTCAATTCTCTTTAATAATGTTTTTATTTCCCCAGATGCAAACAGAGCAGGGACTTTTAACTCTGAGTGATTCATAGAAAGACTATGATGAAAGACTCCTCTGGGTAGTTGCCTACAGCCCAGGAAAGTGCTGGATTCAAGCTGCTCACCTTGCAAAGCCTGGACCCTAGAGTTGTCTGAGAACAAGGAATTTTGCTTATCTGCCTGCATTTTAGTCTTGCCTTGATGAAAAGAAAGGACTGCAGAGCTCTTATATTCTCTCCCTGGAAGTTAGTGATGAAAAGGAATGCTAGTAGGATGTGTGTGTGTGTGTGTGTGTGTGTGTGTGTGTCTGTGTGTCTGTGTGTGTGTCTGTGTAAGCATTCTAGAGGCACAAGCATTCTAGAAGGGTCACTGCAAATTGACTGCAAGTTTGAGGACAGCCTGGGCTACATCATGAGTTGCAGGTTAGCAAGGATGCACAGGGAGGACTGAAAAGAAAAAAGGGAAAAGATGTGTAGTAGCATCTCGCCTTGGATGTGAGTAGAGGGGTAAGAGACACATGGCATTATGGACTTCTTATGACTTGTTCTTCCCCCTAATTTTCTAAGTGACATGTTCAAGGTCAAGTAAGGTAAGGTGACACCTTGGCCTCTTGGCTCAGTGCTGGACCACTGTCCCCCTTCCCCTAATGTCTCCGATGTCACCAGGCATTTTATGAACTGATAGACAGTAAGGACGTACAGAACCAGAAGGGGCCTAAGAGCTTTCCTTGCCAGCCTCAGGCAGATCTTCATTTCCCTCTAGTCAGTGCCTACCTAACCTTCACCCTCCACAACTCAGTCATCTGTATTCTTCATTTGCCCTACAGGAGACCAAAGGTTTTTTGTCTTTCCTGAGGCATAATGGGGTCCTAGACCTGAGGTCAGTGGAGCTCAACCTGAGAGCCATTCACACTCTCTGGCCTTAGGCAAGTGTGGTCATGCCTTTGAATTCTATTTCTCTATAAAATGGTGAGATGCCCGCCTACCTTCCAGGTCTGTTGTACTCCTCCAAAGCCAAGCAGTGGTGTCAGGAGCATCTGCTTGGCAGGGCACAGGAGAGCTTGTCCCTTCCAGGTTCTCTTGGGGATCCTTGCATGTGCAGGAATTGACAGAGAGGAGAAGCAAGAAACCTCAATGCACCTTGACCTATGGGTCACTGAACAGCTCCCCGTCTCTCTTTTCTTTCTTTCATCTTTTTTAAGACAAGGGTTGCACTGTGATTCCCAAGTTAGCCTTGAATTCTACTTCATGCCTTTGCCTCCCTAGTGGTGGGATTACCCACGTGGAACTACACTTAGCCATTTCTTGAGCCACCCAGGCTGCTGCTACCATTTACTGAGCCCTAACCCACAGCCACTCTCTTAAATGTCACGCCAAAAGGACATGAATTACTTCCTACAGTCTTTTTTTGTGGGTTTGTTTTCTTGAGACGAGTTGCTCTGCGTAGCCCTGGCTGTCCTGGAACTCCATCTGTAGACCAGGCCGGCCTTGAACTCAGAAATCTGTCTGCCTCTGCCTCCTGAGTGCTGGGATAAAAGGGGGGGGGGTATGTGCCACCACCGCTTGGTCCTATAGTCCTGATTACATCTATGAGTGTGGATTGACAAGAGTCCTGCAGAGGGACAGTGACCAGACAAGTTCTATGCAAGAGTGGATTCCATTTTCTTTTGGTTGGGATTATATAACTAGGATTTAACCTGTTCCTCTCACCTGGGCCAGAGCCGTGAGAGCATCAATTCCCCCACTGATGCCAGATCCAGCTTCCCTGGGAATGGTGCCTCTAGAGACCGAGTGCAGCTGGCCACAGAGTAAAGAGAATAGAGAGGGTTTCCCTACCACACTGCGGTCTGGGCAAGCTGTCCCACTGGAGCTAACGCTGCACTGACTAGATCCTCTGTACCCTCAGCTTGTGCCTCCCTTCCTGCTTTGTGTAGGAGAATGTTCTCTGTAGGGAGAGTAATGGTGTCCGGCTTTTGAAATGGTGCTTAGTGCATCCAACACACACTGTAGAGCTGTTGTAAATGGAGCAGAGAAACTGCAGGGCCAGGCCGACTCCCTGAGGTGCAGATTCACCTTTGCAGAAATCTGCCCTGCCTGCTTGCCTGTCTGTGTCTCCGTCTCTCTCTGTTACACACACAGTGACCTCCCTTGCAGATCTCCAGCCTCCTGCACTCATGGTACCCTGCCTGCCATTACCTGCATCCCCATTCTTTATTCGCCTTGAGAAGAGTCCCTGTGGGTACAGCCTGTCTTCTGTCTCTTGCTGCTCACAGTGTTGTCCTTTCATATCAATTAAAAACAAGACAGTTAATATCTCCTTACAGAAGATCTGGAAAAGGGAGGAAGGGAAAATCCTCCCTTCACAACTGATTATTTAGACCCATCTTTTGGGCTTGGGATTAGCTCAGTGGTAGAGTCTAAGGCTTGGTCCCCAGCACGGCAAAACAAAGACAGAGAAACAACCCCTAAAGAACAAACTACTGAGCTGGGCAGTGGTGGTGCACACCTTTAATCCAGCACTGGGGAGGCAGAAGCAGGTGGATCTCTGTGAGTTCGAGGCCAGCCTGGTCTATACAGCGAGTTCCAGGACAGCCAGGGCAACATGAAGAGACCCTGTCTAAAATAATAATAATAATAATAATAACAATAATAATAATAAATTAAAAGAACAAAGCCCACCAAACCCTCCTGTTTGTGTTGCAGTGTATGTGAATGCTATGATTTTGCAATTCATCCAAATCCTTTGTCCTTTCCCCTCTTTCTTTCCGGACCTTTGCTGTGTTTGTTACTCCAGGTTAGCAACAGTGAAAGAGACCTGAGGACCCCCCACCCCCGTTTTGACCTCAGCTCTTTCCTCAGGTAACCTTGAACTGGAGCTTTTCTTAGCGCACGTGCGAACTCACACACACACACACACACACACACACACACACACACACACACACACACACGCACAGAGTCTCTCTCTCTCTCCTGAGTGGGAGCTGCCCCACCTTTTCCCTTTCCTCAATTCTTCTCTGCTTCATGAATCTGTGTATAGTGGGGCACCCATGCATGCCATGGCACATGTGTGAAGGTCAGAGGTAGCCTCAGGTATTGGTCTTTCACGCCCATCTCGGCTTGTTTACCCCTTAGGTGTGTATGCCAGACTAGCTTCCAGGGTCTAGCCTTTTTCTGAATGCTATCTCACCGTGAGAATGCTGGGATTATAGATGTGTGCTGCCATGCCTGGCTTTATGTAGGTCCTGGAGATTTGAAGTCAGGCCTTCTCCTTTGCAT